GGAGTACTACTTAGTGGGAAAAAAACAATGGAATCTTGAAATTCACAGGGAAATGAATGGCACTAGAAGAAAACATTCTGAGTGAGGTACCACAGTCACAAAAAGACAACCATGGTATGTAATCACTCATATATGAGTTTTAGACATGGAGCAGGGGATTGTCAGCCTACATTCCCACCACCAGAGATTCTGGGAAACAGGGAGGACCTTAAGACAGATATGCATGGTACTTTGGAGAAGGGGAATGGGACAGGAACTCTTGAGCAGATTGGGAGCATGGGGGGAGGGGAGAGGAAGCTGAGAAAAGGAGAGGGTGAGAAGAGGAGAGGAAAGCAGGACATGGGGGAGCAGGAAGGTTGAGTAGAGGTAAGAATAGAGGAGAGCAGGATGAGAGAACCCTAATAGACATAGTCATTATAGGTTTGAGGAGAGATCTGGCCCTAGTGAGATTTCCAGAGATCTAGGAGGATGACAATAACTGGTAATCTAAGGAATAGTTGAGAGGCTACCTTAAATGCCCTTCCCTGATAATGAGACTGATGACTGCATTATATTCCATCCTAGAGACTGCATCCAGTGGCTGATGGAAGCAGAGATAGACACCCACAGTTAAACACTGAACTGAACTCCTGGAGCCCAGATGCAGAGAGGGAGGAGTGAGGAGCAAAGGAGTCAAGATAAGACTGGTGAAACCCACATAAACAGCTGACCTGAAAAAGGGGGAGTTCATGAACACCAGACTGATGGCTGAGTGGCGAGCATGGGACTGATCCAGACTCCCTGAATGTGGGTGTCAGTGAGGAGGTCTCGGCAATTTATGGAACCTTGGGTAGTAGATCAATATTTATCCCTGGTGTACTAATGGACTTTGGGAGCCCATTCTAGATGGAGGAATGCTGTCTCTGCCTGGACACATGGAGGAGGGTTTAGGCCCTGCCCATGATGGTATGACAGACTTTGGAGAGTCCCCCATGGAGGGCCTCACCCTCCCTAGGGAGCACAGGGAGTATAGGGTGGTGGCTAAGTAGGTTATTCGGGGTGGGGGAGGCTGTGGATGATTGACATGTGAAGCAATCTTGTTTCTAATTTAAATAATAGTAAACTGATGGCAGTGATACCTGCAGAGATAGTTTCAAACAAAAATGTATATTCTTACATTGTTTCACAATTTCAAATACCAGTATGATACATTTCATTAGCTTGGAAAAGGAACCCCAGAACAAGTTCAATGTCACTGAGCATTTCCCTCTGATTAGACAACTACACATACTTGATTCTTTTCTTTTATTGAAAATAGATATTTTTCCAAGCAATATTTTCTGATTATAGTTCCCCCTTCCCTGACTTTTCTGGGACCCTTCCTACCTTTCTTCCCATCCAATCCACACTCTTTATGTCACTTACAAAAATCAAATCAACAATAGCTGATGGAAGCAGAAGCAGATACCCACAGCTAAACACTGAGCTGACCTCCTGGAATCCAGTTGCAGAGAAGGAGGAGTGATGAGTAAAGGGGTCAAGACCAGGCTGGAGAAACCCACAGAAACAGCAGACCTGAATAAGGGGGAATTCATGGACCTCAGACTGATATCTGGGAAACCAGCATAGGACTCTTACAGATCCTCTGAATGTGGATGCCAGTTTGGAGGTCTGGTTAATCTATGGAGCCTCTGGTAGTGGATCAGTTTTTATCCCTAATATAGGATTTGACTTTGGGAGCCCACTCCACCTATAGGGATACTATCTCAGCCTAGACACACAGGAGAGTGCCTAGACCATGATCTAAATGATATGACAGATTTTGAAGATCCCCCATGGAAGGCCTCACCCTCCCTGGGATCAGAAAGGGGATATGATAGGGGGTTGGTGGGGGGCAGGGGAGGAGGGAAAGGAGAATGATCTGTGATTGACATGTAAAACAAGTTAGTTTCTAATTTAAATTCTAAAACAGATAAGAAGAAAACAAACAAACAAAAAAATCAAAACCAAAAAATTTGTCTGAGGATTACAATAAAATAAGATATACGAAAGCAAACAAACTGGAATAGTGCAAAACAAACATACATAAGAAAAAGAGCCAAAGACAAAGCATCAGAAACACATATAGACACAGGGACACATATTTTTACACAGGAATCCCATAATACAAAAATCATGGGAAAAATATATATGGAAGTCAATATATATGCATCTTGTAAGGTTTAAGAAAATATAATCTGAAACATTATTAGACAAAGAAACTCCATTGAGTTTGTTTTTTGTTGGCCATCATTTACTGGGTGTGGGGCCTGTCTTCAAGAGTGATTTGTATCCCTGAAATGATACAAACTTAAATAGAAGGTACAGTGTTAAGAGAACCTGCTGCCTTTGCCAAGTACTGGGTTCAGTTCCTTACACCCTTGTTCAGTAGCTCACAACTTCTTGAATCCCCAGCTCCAGAAGGTCCAAACTATTCTTTGTCTTCAAAGGATACTTACACTCAAGATAATATACCTCTACACAGACACATATACATAATTAAAAAATAAAAATACTTTGAAATGCTACAGATATACCCTACACACTTATAATAACAAAGTTCAACCCAGAAAGAGCCTAATTTTCCTGTCTGAGGTGACACTTAAGGTCCAGAGAAACAATAAAAACTGTCCCATATTCCCACCAACATTGGTGACCTAGTTCTGGCCCACTAAGCTCCTCCTCTTGTGTCTATGAAACAGTGCCCTGTCCTTTCCTTATAGCAACCTTCACCAAAGCAATGTCAATGACTATTGGGAGATGAAGACTTCGATTGCCCAACACTGCTATAGCAGGATAGACTTTCCAGGGAACAGACCTATTACCAAGATAAATATTTGAAGTTGTTAGGCTGGAACTAAATGTCCATCTGATGAAAAGAAACCATTAGTTTCTCCACAACCTTATTTACTTTGGCCATTGGAAAGAGTTCATATTTCCAGTGAAAGCTATAGCAGTACTCATCACCATTCCAATTGATGCTTGTTTCCTGTCTCACACAGCCAGTGGTCCTCTGTCCACAGCTAGCCTACCCAGTATGATTCTTAGAATTTTCGATCAATATAACATACGTCCTTACTTCCCATTTACTTTGCTGAACACTATTTTAGTGCTATACACCTTAAACAAGATCTGGCTTCTACACAGACCTTGCTCTGTTTCGTTCTGTCCCATGAACCTAGGGAACTGGAAATGAGGAGACCGCCTCGTTGTCTTCTTGATATTCCTTAGACACCTATTCCCAGAGGCACACCGTAACTGCTCATACGTACCTATTTCCAAGATGTGTCAGCCACCTGATGCTTTCCCTTTTTTCCTTACCCAGCCTAAATCCCAAATAGGCTATAACTTACCCTCATAGAAAAACCTACAACATTCTTTGTTCTGTCTTTTGCTGTGTTTTTTTCCTGCCCAAGTCCAGACTCATTGCTGTACCTACTTTATACCCAAGTACACGTTTATTTTGATTGCTGGAGAACATACTTCAGATGTCTGTATTCATTTTAGATTTGCTGTTGCGAGTATCAAATGGAATCTCAATAATTCTTTCATAAACCCACTTTCTTATGTATTCTTTCTCCTCTTAACTCTCGGGCATCTTTCCAATCCCACTTTCTGCTCTTTGCATTGAGAAAACATCCATTGACATTTCAAAGGGAATTGTCTTTCACTAAACTGAAGACATCATCTATAATCTATCAAGAAGGTTTCACCTTTGAATTTTTCCTCTTTATATTGCTTCACCAGCGGTTCACTTTCAACTCTCCAATACTACACACAAGAATAGGCATTCACCAATCTCCCAACTTACAGGAAAAATTCCTTTCTCTTATATCTCTTTAGTCTTTGTTTCACTTTCACATACTTGCTTGTCATGTGGTGTCTATGTATACTGGTTCCAATTCCTGATTTCTCGTGTACATTGATGATGAAACCCACAAAGACAACTGACCGGATAAGGGGGAGCTCTTGAATCCCAGACTTATGGCTGAGAGGCCAACAGGAGACTGATCCAGACTCTATAAATGCAGTGCCAGGGAGGAGGCCACAGAAATCACTGGGGCCTTGGGTAGTAGATCAGTGTTCACCATGGTTTATGAATGAGCTTTGGGAGCCCATTCCAAATAGAGGGATGCTCTCTCAGCCTGGGCACATGTGGAAGGGCCTAGGTCCTTCCCAGGATGAAATGACAGACTTTAGAGATTCCCCCGTCCAAGAGAAGGGGTGGGAGAGGTAGCTGGAACTGACATGTGAAACATTCATGTTTCTAATTTAAATAAAAACATATATTGAGAAAAAATAAATAAAACATTTTAAAATAAGTTTTATTACTTCTTTTTGTAAGACACATATTTTTAAATGCTCAGTTCATTTTATTCTAGATGCAATCATCTAAAAGTGTATTAAGCACGTAACAAGTTTTTGAAACATAAAGAAAGTACTCACAAAGTCAGTCTCCATTCTTGATACTGAATATTGACATCTGTTTCAAATGAATGAATATGCTATTTTAGTTTTACACCCACACACACACCCCACCCCCCCACACACACTTTTCTTCAACATATTTATATTGGAATTTGAGAAAAGCAATTTCCAAGTTCCAATCACAAAAGAGAATACTCTTTGAGGGAAGAAAATCATTGTTTTTGTAGTATTAGAGAAAACAAACTTCCAGATATTTGTATGGATCATATATGATTTTTTTGTAATTCTATTCTTGGACAATATTGGCACGTACCAAGGTTGCATTTCATCCTTTGGACATCTTAACTTTTATAGCTATCAACTCTTTAAATTTTGTAACAATTTTAATATTTTCAAAAATCCAGTGTCAATATAACTGTAGAATTACTCTAGTCTGGGATTCAAGAGCTAACCCTTGTCAGGTCAGCTGTTTCTGGGGGTTAAACCAGCCCAGCCTTAACCCCTTTGGTCATCAGTCCTCCCTCTCTGTCACTGGATTTCTTGAGTTCAGCTCAGTGCTTGCTTCGGCAGCACATATACTAAAATTGGAACGATACAGAGAAGATGAGCATGGCCCCTGTGGAAGGGAATCACTGTTTTAACTGCACCTGCTGCCTATGGTAGAATCTGGACCTCGCTAAGAAGCTGAAGGCCACAACGGACTATTTGAAAGCATAGCAATAGTTTAAAGAATCAGAGTGATGTCAGCTTCACAGGAAGCTTTGGCAGCAAAGACCATAGAGTTTTGGAATTCCTAAGTATCACAGGGCAAAAGCAAATCAAATCACCAGATGAAATGATTGTGCTGACTCACTGGATTGAGAAAGTTACAATATGAATTCAGCTTAGCTGACTGTATCTGAAAGAATTAAAAATACTTCCAAATACACTCAAAATTATTTAAACCGATGTAAGGGTTTCCCACAAGTGGTAAGCAGCACTTTTCCATGTGAGCTACGGATGAGGACTCCTTAGTAGGGACAGTGAGATGGAAACCAAACACAGGAGCCAAGTCACCATAGAGGTAACCCTTGAGAGAGAATGAAATAGTAACTTCAGCATCTTTTCTTCCATTCATAGTAAGCCAGTGTGTGCATTCAGTAAAGACATTATGATGAGACCTACTGCATGGACATGAGTGACTAAGTGTACTGACAATATTCAGGAAATAAGCAAGGTTTAACCCACATGCAAGGAAAAAAGAAATAGACAAAAACCCAGTCAACTTAGTTTTGAAAAGTACAGGGAATATTTTAAAGGGGAAGTTAAAACAGTAATAGGCAATTAGTTAGCAATGCTCTTTGATGACTCATACATGCAGAAAAGATAACTGAAGTTTCTAAGTATATTAGATTCCTATTGTAATGTCTTGATATCCATTAGGTATAAAATGGGGAAAATTTCAGTTACTGTTGATTAGTCTATTAAATTTCTTGCTAAGTCTAAATAACAGTGTAAACAAAATACATTTCTTTTCTCAAACTATGTATACTGGAAAATATTCAAATTGTAAGATATACAAATGCTCTCTAGAGGCTTGTTTGGTTTTTTGCTTTGTTTTGTTTTGTTAGTGCCAGGGAGTGGGACTAGGTGATTTATTTTCCCCTTTCTTCTAACATTGCCAAATAGAAAATAAATGAGTGTTGTTCTAGATTAACTGTAATCCCCTTGAGCAAATGAGTACCATGCCAATGTATGAAAAACAGTTATCCACCTTGGAATTGGAATTAATTTTTTAAATAGAATATGGGTTTTCAAGCTATATATAGCCAATTTCCTTAAAAGAAAAACTCTTGCAATATTCCTAGGACCCAGGAGTTCTATGCATCATACTTTTAAATTTTGATTGAACTTCTTTTTCATTTTTTCAAAATACTGCCATGTTTATAGTAATTGTGTGAGTCTGACAATATCATAACAAGAGTTGAACATACCAGCTGTTTACCATTTCATGCTAATTAAATGTGATTTTTCAGCATTATCCATTTCATTCTTTTGCTTCCAATCATTTAAGCACCAGCAAGGAGAGACAAAGGTAGATGTTAGAGGATATGTTACCCATATATTTCCAATTGAAGAGCTTCAAGCATAAGCAAATTTTAGAGGTAAGATTCCAAAGCCACATTATTCAATATAATAGAAGTTGATACCCAGGTGCATTTAATTTTAAGCTATAAGAAGAGCCATAGTATAAAAATGCTATAGGAACTGGAGGTATAAGGTGAGGATTCTTCCCAAGTTCCACAACTAAGTGTAGATGGTGACCTTCTGGTGAATCTCTGACATTTGCCTTTTTCAGTTTGTTTGATATGCAAATTAGAAATGTCTTCTTTCACTGCTAATAAGACTGGGGTGGGCAGGAATGTTTTGTAGTCTCAGTTTATTCATCCTTGTACAAGGTGGCATCTATGGTGACTTCTTTTAATAGAAATTAAAGATCAACTGGTTCAGATTTGTAAATTAATTATCTCCTATTTTGGAAATTTATTATATTGGAATATGACATTTCCTGAAAAGAAAATACAACAATACATAGATTGGGAAGGAGTCATAAAGATAGGTATGCAGCTGTACATGAGTTAAATACTAAACTATTGGCCAGTAGTTTACGAATTTTACTCAAGTTCTATGATGACTATCTTTATAAAGATTAGCAGAATACATTGTTACACATGTGAACACAGGAATACCTAAAGCAAATCTTAAGAATATAAAAAGAGATTATGAGAGATTTTTCTTCTCCTGTGCTGATGTTGGTGCCATGAAGTTATAAGAAACATCTGAGAGAAATTAACCAAAAAAATGTGAGAATTTTTTCCTGCCTCAACATCACATATGCTGAGATCCAGACACAATTACCCTCCAGAATGTATTGCAGATGCGGCGCTTAGCAAATGGGTGCAAGATGTTTGCTCAGATAGAAGCTTGCAGTCCAGTGTTAGGAAAAACTGGCAAAAGCCCTTAACAGAGGTTTCTAGAGAGTTGCCAACTCGGATCATTTTTTCCCTGAGAGTTTTGGCAGTTGTGTTCCGTCTCTTCAGATTGCATTTATAATTGGTTGTTTCCATGGAAACATGGACCTAAATCCATAGTCTTCTTTATTAACTAACTTTAAAATGGAGGTGCGCCCTGAGCAAAATGGGAGTTGGGGCAACGGTGGGAGATAACAACAAACCTATTGTACATATACGTGTGGCGCTAATTCCACAGTATGAGTCGTAGTCGTATAGTTTATTAATCCACATGCAGAGTGACATCTGTGCTCCTGGCTTTTCATAATAATCTTTAATAAATATCTATGGACTAAGATTTATTAATTTATTATCCAAGTTCATCATTATTATTATCTTTTTGTAATACTGTCATTTCATAATACAAAGGGCTCCCATTTGCCTTAAGAGAACTCATGACAAGTTATAGTTTTCTGTTTCTAATCCTGACAAAAATTTGAAATGTTAGATGTTCTGCATGTCTTACATTTTAAAATCTCAGCATATTTAAGTGAAAACTTGGATAAGCACTTGTATGCCTGGTACGTCTCAGCAAAGACTGCAATGGTGGTAGAATGATAGAATACATTTTGATAGTACAATTGGAGAGGGGTTGTAGTGACTTAACTTACTAAGTAAGTCCTGGGCCACACTGAAATTATGAATTAGCTAGACCAATTGAAAGGTCACTAGTTTTGCTAAACTAGCATGTTTTCCTATAAATGTCATGAAAATCAATATCCTGCCCACAAAAATCAATTTCTGATTCCCATTCAGCCTCACTACTGGTGCATGTAGAGGTTTCCAAGGAGAAAATATGGTGCATGAAAAATATCAAGTAATTAAAGATGTAGCTTGTGTTTGATGGGCTGGAGTTAGAATTAGTGTGTGCGTGCGTGCGCGTGCGTGCATGCGTGTGTGTGTGTGTGTGTGTGTGTGTGTGTTGGGGATGTATGGAAAGCAACTTCCATGATGGAACATTTTAGAATGTACACATACCTAAATTGCACATAGTAACATTTACCATCAAATCATAAGCACAAACTTACAAATGTTAAAAATCTGTGCTATTTAAATGATACTTAATATCTGTCTGTCTGTCCAACTGCCTATCACACCCTCCATCCTCCCCACTGTCTTTCTGTCTTTCTCCATTACTCCTTCCCTCTTCTCTCTCACAACATTTCTGAGTGAGCAAATGTCTTATATACTCAGTTACATTATATGTACATTGTGCTTAGCTGTGGTAACTTCTTCATAGTTAAAATAATTTCAAAATGTATGAAAACAGTGTATTTCTATTCAAGACCTTTCAATCTGTAAAGGCCACTCCGGGCTAATAGTGTCTGTTGCACACTCTTGTCAGCTCCATTCCCAATCAGAACTGCATCTTTCCTCATCTGCTTCATGATGTTTGCAAACCTGAGAAAAACTGGATAGGAGTCCATTTATCTCCCAGGTCAAAGAATCAAACAATCCAAGCATCTGTGACAATTCAGGACCATGGACAACAGCCAGGTACTCAATTGCCTCCACCTCTAAGTTAAAAAGTGAGAACCAAAAAAGGGCAAAGCCGTCATTGCTTGAGAATGGTCTTAGATTCTTGCTAAGTTACTGATGTTCTGTAATTGTAGGTTGTATCTTTATGCTCCCTGTAATCAGGTGAACATGACTTACCAAGTTACCCAACTACTGGAGAAACAATGAATTTTCGAGTCTGAAATCTGGATTCTATACAATGAGAAGCACAGTGTTAAGTTTACAAGTAAATTCACAAAGATGGGACTCCTAGGACCATTGCCAGATGAACTGGGAAATGCTAATTAATAAGGGAGTGAGTAAAATGAAAAGAAAATCCATATACATATACAAGCACATACATTTAAATACATATATGTACAACATACATATTAGGATGAATAAATGATCCCTCCAAAGATATTCACATCCTAATTCTTGGAGTCTATTATTATGCCTCTTTTCAAGTTATAATCAAATCTATAGATTACATTAAATTAACTGGGGCTAAATGGCTCATCAGTTAAGAGAGCTTGTTTTTCTTGCAGAAGATCTGGATTCAGTTCCCACTGTACCCATGTTGGGATCTCACAATCACCAACAACTATAGTTTTGGAGGCTTTCACACCCTCCTCTGTCTTTCTCGAGCATCTACACTCAGGAGCACATACCCACATACAGACATACACATGCATTTAATTAAAAATAAAATATATCTTTAAACAGCAGACAAATCATTTATTGTTTTATTTTATAGAGAGAATTATATTATTATAGAGGTAAACCTATAATTTTAAGGTATGTTGTTATAGTTATTTACTACAGCAAAAATAAAAGCCAAGACAGAACATATATATACAGGATCCACATGTACACTGAAGGAAAATGAGTCAAGGACAATGAGATTGGAAAGAAGAGATTTTTGAATTATTTTCTTTCTTCTGTTTTGATAAATCGACTAAAACATCCAAACAACATATTATTCTTCATTCATTTCCTTTTGTCAAGGTTGCTGTGGAACAATCGTTGTACTCTCTACATAGCTATTACTCTCATTGGTTAATAAAAGAGCTAACTGGGCAGTAGCAGAACAGGCAGAGGTTAGGTGGGACTTG